TGGTGGCACAAAGCCCAGCACCTAAATAGCGACGGAGAGGGAGCCACGAAGGGAGATCTTCGTTTCTGATTGCAGTGGCGTACGCCTGTCATCCCAGCTCCGGGGAGGCTGAGGCAGGAGAATCGCTGAGAGTTCACGGCCAGCATGAAATGCATAGCAAGACCTTGTCTCCAAAACACCAAAGATAAATAAGTAAAGGCCATCACTCCAGCATGCGGCCAACATGAATAGTAATTTATGAGGTATTTTCTTTTTTTGCGGAGGCACTAAAATCTGGGGCGTCCCATGTGTATTGTATTTTACACCAGCTCATTGCAAAATCCAGACGTTAAGTTTCCCTCAGAGATCATCTGTACTTAGATGCTGTAAAATTCACAGTAGCAGAAGTTAAATTACATCAGCCCTTGGAATAAAATTAAAAATGCAGTGTCCCCATAGGCCATAGGCACACTGCAAGTGCTCAGAGTGCACAGGTGGCCTCGGACCCCGCATGTGTCCAGCCCCACGGCCACCAAGGTCACCTCTGGCATGAAGACACCGGGCAGGCAGCTGCACTCTTCCCGGAAGCCTGGTGGGCGTCATGGCTGCCGGCTTCTTGATGCTCCATTAGAAATGGGTAACGTGGGGCTGGGGATGAGGCGCGGTGGTGCTGCCGCCTGCCATGCAAGCAGAAGGTCCTGAGTTCGATTCCCTGTACCAAAAAGGAAAAAAAAAAAGAGAAAAGAAATGGGTGCCAGTAAGTCAAGCAGGTTTCAGATTCACATCGACCCTCCTGCCTCAGCCTCCTGAGTGGTGTGATTATAGTTGAGTGCCATCATGGGTGTGTATCTTTTCTCATTTTTAGCAATACTGGGGATTGAGCCCAGGACTGAGTTAGATCCCCAGCCCTTCATTTTTATTTCTTATTTGTGGGGCGAGGTCTCAGGAACTTGGGATCCTCCTGCCTCAGCCTTGCAGGCTGCTGGAATTACAGGTCGCTCCACCACACTCAGCGTGGCTTTGTATCTTCGTTTGCACTTACAGTTTCCAAAGTTTTCAGGAATCCCCCAGTCTTGAAATTATGTGGCCTTTGTTCACACTTTTTCTGCTGGAGGCAAACTAACAGCCAATTGTTCAGACCATTGAGGCAGAGCAAGTCCTTCAAGAGTTAAGAAAGCTCCTTTTCAGGCAAGGCAGGGTCAGTCTCTATCCGGGATACAGGGCCCCAGGAAGGTGATGAACCCTGCTCCTTGTTTCCCTGATGTGAGGGACAGAGCCAGAGTTGCAAGCCTGGCTTGCAGGTCACAGGTAGAGGCTGCACCGTGGCCCTGGGGAGGGGCTGGAGGTGGAGGGTCTAATCTACCATCTCCTCAACGTCCTGGGGCCGCAGGTGAGAGTTCAGGCTGCACTCTGGACAGCGTCCCGGACCAAGCCCCAGCTTGGCAAGATTCCGAAGCCGCCCCCCCAGGAACTCTGCGTCTAGGGAGGGGCTGTTCACAATGTGGGGTGACCCCCTCCCCTCAGGACCTGGAGGCTGAAAGAGGAAGGAGCTGTTTGGCAGAAGATTAGAACTTTTACAGATCATGCAAAATGATAAGCCTGGTGTGATGGCACAAGCCTGTAGTCCCAGCACTCGAAAGGCTGAGTCAGGAGGATCTCTGCAAGTTGGCGGGCAGCCTGGACTACGTAGTGAAACCATGTCTCAAAAACAGGCAGGAGTGGGGACGTAGCTCAGTGGTGCCCCACCTGCCTCACAAGCACAAGGACCTCAGTTTGCTGCCTGGCACCAAAACCAAAAATAAAAACCAATAGAGCCAGGCCTGGTGACACACGCCTGTATTTTCAGCACTGGGAGGCTGAGACAGGAGCATCGACATGGTTTGAGGCCAATCTGAACTACCTCGTGAGATCCTGCCGAAACAGAGTCTGGGAATACGCAGCTGGAACAAGAAGGGAGCTTCGAGAACGCAAAGGGGGATGTTTTGCCCGGGGGACAGCAGCACCCCCGGGGAGGCCCCTGGTCATCTGGCCACGTGAGCTCTGTGTTTTTCCTCACTCCTGAAGCTGTTCCTGGGCATCCCGCCTTTCTGTCATTAAAATTGCAGCCGATGGGAAAGATCCTGGAGTCCGCTGGTTTCGAGCTCAGATCCCTATTCCAGTCTGGGCGGCTGCGTGGTGAGACCTCGGCCCTCATCACTGCGGCGGTGGCCGTGGGCTGCGCGTGGGCTCCTCGCACTCGGGTCCTGCCCTGCGCCTGCTCCAGCGATGCTCCGTCTCCTGTCCTCTCTGACTTCTGTGCAGCCGGTCTGATGCTCTTCAGGGCGCCACGGCCCCGGCGGCTGGCACTGGACCCCTCCCTGGCGCGGTCTCTGTCGCATGGCCCGGCTCCAGCTGCAGGTGGGGCGGAG